TCAAATCCAACTGGAGCCATTACTTTTTTTTTAACAAACATTTCTTTGAAAAAATAAAACATTTCCCTGGCTCAGAGATTAAATAAAACTTCACTCGCACCAAACAAATTTATATTTCTAAATATCACAACTTGATCGAATTTAAGTCATTTTATTAACAATGAATAGTCACCTATGCATTACAATATAAACATTTATATTGATTTAAATCGCGTTTAAATCGCCTTTATTTAAAACCCATAAATAATTTGCTGGACAGAGTGGTGACAAAGATAGCTATTTACGTTAAAAGACATTTAATTAAACAGGGGTTTGTGATTTAAATGGGAATGGGGGTGACAGCAACTCTTAATCTAAATAAAAATAAAATAAATAAAACAGGTTTTGATAGTTAATAACCACTTTTTATGCACGAAACACGGGTGATTTTTCTTCCTCTTGATCAGTTTAGAAATCTGAGTATGCTGTAAGGTTTTTACTTCTTAATTAAACTTTTAAAATACACGTTTTGAATAGAAAGAAATCCTCTTCCTGGTACAGTATGTATAGCAGACCAGCACGTTTTTTTTTCTCCAATCAGAGGGGTGTCAGATGGTGACAGCCAATCACCATTCTGAAGCCCTACCGTAATCTATGGTATAGGGAGACCCCAGAATTCTGTTCCATAGTTTAGATAGATGATAGATACTTTTATTGATCCCGTGAGGGAAAAAAAGTAAATAATTTTCATTTTAGGAAATGATTAAACGCTCAGTTAAAAGCAAAGGAGATTGTTATAGTGGACATAAAAACAAGAGTTTGCTGCGGCATTATTGGAAACCCAAATTTAACAAAAAATCGCTGGCATTATATCCTAGACGGCGCCAGACCGGGAGAATGCCCGCAGCGTAAAAGAAAATGCCTGATGAACTAGGGATTGGACAGTTTCCAAGTGCTTGTACAATCGATGGAAATGTTCAAATAAATGTGCAAAAGAAATAAACAAAATAATCATTTATTTCTTTATCATATTGGCTAGCTAATGTCCTCTCTTTGTTAGTTAGTGGCTGTGTTCCTGCGTTGGGAAGCAACAGGTGACTACAGTATGTTCTCAGGCAGAAGATGTTAACAGCTTAATTTGCGTGTTAAATAATTTTTTTAAATTAAAATTCATTCTATACAGCAATCGCATATTTGGGTACTGTTTCATAAAACTTTCATGCTTAAAATGTTTAGGGAGAAATGGAAGACTGGTGTGTATTTTTTCTTTAAACTACCAGCCATACACAGTACAGTTTACATACAGTAATGTTTATGTTCCTAAATTAATATCGTTTATGACCTTCAGATGCATTATGCTCTTCTTCTTTTTATGCTCAGCTACTAAAATTTCCCTTTAGTGGTAAAATTCCATATAAATATTCAATACTAAGCGGATTAAAATGTGCACAGTAAAAAGATTAAATGATTTAATCTTTTCACTACCAACCAATGCACCACGAGTGCCCCTGTCGGGCCAGCCAATCACTTACCACGGTGCCCTGCGGTGGCTTGTGGGTAGTTTACCGTACCGCAGGTTTCTACCGTGCATTTTGAATGGCTGCATCTGTACTTCCTAAAAAATGAAATAGTAAATAATTTGTATACTATATTGACATTTGTACACTATTTTATATATCACAACGTTAAATATTGAAATTATATTAACAAATAAGAGTATAATAATGTCTCAGATCATTATTAAGAATAAATAATTATTTTGAACTGTTTTCACAACCTTCAAATTCTTATTAAAACACCTATTTTTGAGACACAATGTTTCAATAACTTTGCGAACAAATGACACAGAGCCTTCAAACCACAGGCATTTTAAAGATTGCGATTTGTGAAAACTATCATAACTTTTATTTAAACAACATACAGTACCTGGTTCCATTTTTAGAAATTGAATAAAGCGGATCCCTGGTGTAAGTGACTTCATAATGCAAGAATTACTATTCAAAGAAACACCTGACCATATCAAGCAGAATATGGTCCTTGAGTTAAACCTCTCTTTAATTTGTGAAACTTTCCAAATTTGTTGTTTTTACTCAGATAAAAATAAACTACATATGCATTTCTTTGACAGGAGGAAAAACATTCTGTGCTCAATAGCCACCATAGCACGCATTATGTTACGTTTTTTACACGTCCGTCAAAGTGTTCTCAAAGTCTCTCAAATACGTAAACAATGTAACATAATACTGTAGGTCGCACCCCTACCTTAATAAAGCCAATAATAAAATGAGACTGTAAATGCAGGGTATGTAGTGGCATGGATGGATCTGTATATAGCTAAAAATAAAAACATAAGGAACTCATTAGTATTCCACCTTCTTCATGAACATTTTCTGCATCAACTCGGTCAATTCCTGCAGTAACTTTGGGAAAGTGGTGACTTGTTCCTTTAAATACATTGATGGCTCAGTAGTAGGATTCTGTGCTATCACACAAAAGGGCCTGGGTTTGATTCCAGTACTGACCTGAGTTATATTTTTTAACAAATTGTTCCTTGGGCATAATGACAATAAAATTATATGTAAACTATATTCACATTTCTAAATATTAAGTAATGAACGAGCCTCCAGAACAACAAACTAACAATCTCGAGGTTCACTGGAAACAGCAAGAGAATTTAAATATGAATATAAACAGAAATCGCAATAGAGTTTTTATGGGTATAGCGTTTAATTTTAAATAAAAATGTTAATGCCACTATGTATATTTTTAAATGATAAAATGTAAAATATAAATGTTCATTTTTAGATGCTTTTTGCTTCCCTTTTTTTCTTCCTAGTAGTTGATAAAATTATATCATTTAGAAATTGTATTATTACATTAGTAGTTTTAATCATCAAAGTTGTTAGAATTAGTTTTTAGAACAACTAAAAAGTTGTGAGTACAACAAAATTGCACTTGTAGGGTGTAGCACCTATTTCATCTTAACTTTTCTGAAGTAGGGTGTGTTTTGTGCCTTGAGGGTCTCCCCTCGCAGTGGGAGGTGAGGGCTTTTATTATCACACTTTGCCTTCACTGCACATTCCCAGTAGTCACTGATATAGCTTTAGTTGAGGAACTCCAGTTAAATTCCTGGGGTTCTATCTGTGTGGAGGTTGCATGTTCTCTCTCGCTTGCTTTGACTGTCCTGGATAAAGCTGTTAAAAAATATTTGGACTGGTGGATTTATGCTTTCCAATTTATAACATATAAGATCACTTTATTGGCCATATGCAATTTCCTTTATTAGGAATTTGTCTTTTCACATACCCCAACTTGCTCTCCATGAGACACACAGACAGGGAGAGAAGCTTGGGGTCAGAGCGCAGGGTC